GAGAAATATCCTAAAGGATTATAGGAGTTTGGAAGGATCATTAGATAAATACAGCACATTAAAAAAAACTTTAAGATAGTGGGACAGGGGTGGCACATGCCTTTAATTCCAGCACTTGGGAGGTAGAGGCAGATGGATCTCTGTAAGTTTGAGGCCAGCCTGATCTACAGAGCAAGATTCAGTACAGCTAGGGCTGTTACATAAAGAAACCCTGTCTCAAAAAAAAAAAAAAAACAACAAAAACAAAACATAAAAAAAAATCTTCAAAACACAGGGGCTGGAGAGATGGCTCAGAGGTTAAGAGCACTGGTTGTTCTTCCAGAGGTTCTGAGTTCAATTCCCAGCAACCACATGGTGGCTCACAACCATCTGTAATGAGATCTGGTGCCCTCTTCTGGTGTCCAGCCAGAACACTATACACATAATAAATAAATAAATCTTAAAAACAATCTTCAAAAAAATCATTAATAGTATATTCAAACATCAAGTGTGCTGATTAACAGTAATTATCAACTTGACATTATCTAGAGTCACCTTGGAGACAAGCCTCAGGCACACCTGTAAAAGATCATCTAGGTTAGGTTAGTCTCTAGAAATGACTAAGGAAATGATCTTGACCAGAATAACTGAGGTGGTGCCACTGTGGGTGGCACCATTCCCTGGCTTGCCCTAGACTGTATAAATGGAGCATGCCAGGAGTCAATCATGTTCCCGTTTGATTTGCACTATAAACATCTATCCCAAACTTCGTGTCTTGAGACAACTGTCATACAATTCTATCTCACAAACTTTGGGATCTTAAATTCAAATGGGGCCCAACTGGGCAGTGAAAACAGTCACAGATTTAAGATCCAAGAGGGGAGGACAGGGACCCCAACTCTTCACGGGAGTAGAGTGGATCAGTAGCCAGTTTAAGCCACCACATTTAGGCAAAGAAAGGGAGTGGGAGATGGGCAAACAGAGAAGGTAGGAGCAGGGTAGCTGCTGAATCCTGCCTATCCCTGAAAGCATGTTAAGAATTTTGAGTTTATTCCTCATACAGTGTGAAGGCACCAGAGAGATTTCAACAAGAAAACCAATGGGCCTTTCTGTTCCGTGGGAACTTGTGTCAAACTTCCCTGACTGTTGTCATACTCATCTCTTATTCTCCTGGGGCCTGGGGCACCTCGCTGTCTGGTCATTGTAAATGCTAACTGCAGCATGCACGTGAACAGAGGAAGCAATTGACTGTCTAGAGCAGCCTTAATTGTAGGGCATCCACGGGATCCAGAATTCTAAACTTTAATGAGTTTACAGATATCCTGGTGGAATTTTATTAGAATGCAGTTCCTGATTCAGGAGGTCTCCGATAGCCTGAGATTCTACATTCTTAGCAAGCTCCAGTACCATGGCTTATGCTGATTGAACATCTAGGGTTTGGAAATCAGGCTGAGAGTGTAGCTCAGGGATACCTCAGCTGGTAAAGTGTTTGCCTTGCAAGCATCAGAACTTGAGCTTTAGATCCCCGCAGCCCACATTTTTTTAAAAAAAAGTCAGGCATAGTTCCACCAGCTTGCAACCCTTCCCCCTGCTAGGGAAAGAGGGACAGGAGGATGCCTGGGACTTATCGATCAACCAGCCTAGAGGAACTGGTTTAGTTCCAGACCGGTGAGAGACTGTCTCAAAAAACAAAGTGGATGATAATTGAGGAACGTCACCAGAGATTGTATTCTGGCCTTCACATGTGCACATGCACGCACTTGTACACAATGTGAATTCATGTGCGCGCGCACACACACACACACACACACACACACACACACACAAGAAACCATTGTATGTCAGGCATTTGAAGAAGTAAGAATAAGATCATGGGCTGTAGGCACTCAACAAGCTGAGGTGAGATGATGCAGGTTTTTCTCTCTGGTCTCCTATCCTCATCAGCAGTTCCACTAAATGCTCAGGCCCCTCATGACTTCTAATGGCCGCAGCAGCTTCAGAAATTATTCTCGACACTGCAAAGCTCAGAAAGAGAAAGATGCGGCAATGACTCAGATGGATGATTAGTCTAACTGGATCTAGAATTACCCAGGAGCCAAATCTCTAGACTTGTCTGCAAGGGAGTTTTCAGACTGGCTATACTGAGGTAAAAATACCCACCCTGAATGTGGGCAGCACCATACCATGGCCTGGGATCCAAGACTGAAAAAAGAAAAAAAAAAAAAGGACCAGCATCTATTTCTCTTTGCTTCCTGACTGGGGAAGGTGGCCAGCTGCCTCACACTGCTATTGGAATGCTGTCCCCCATGGCGGACTAAACTCTGGAACTAAGCCAAAATGAATCCATCTTCCTTAAGCTGCTTTTCTTTTGTATTTTGTCACAGCTATGAGAAAAGTAACTAACGCAACATTATATCTCTGTGTGCCCTTAGCGGAGAGGACCCTGTGGTGCAGAGAGAAGTCTTCCATAGAGAGAAAGCTCCTACAGACTTCTCCCAGAAGCTAGAGTCTCATAGCTAGAATTAGATGATGTGCCCAGCCCTATATCGATCAGACATCCATGCTTGATCTGGATGTAGCAGGCTCTGCTGCTGGAACCTAGCCGCTGCGAGACAGTGGACAGGGAGGGACCTGACCACATATGACAACAGGCACTGCGGCTTATGTGACAGTGGACAGGGACCTGACCACATATGACAACAGGCACTGCGGCTTATGTGACCATATGCGTACTTTTTACATAGAATAGGAAATATGTTTTTACTGAAAAATGATAAACTTGTCTTTAAAGTGCAGCACAATAGGCTATGTAAGTGTATGGAAATACCTTGTGATCCATGCTGGAGTATGTGGCGGGAGTGCAGACTTGAGAGTACTAGAACCTGGGACTCTGCCAGCTCTCCTGAAATCTTGTCCTGTTGGGACCCAAAGCATAAAGAGCTACAGCAACCTGCTAGGTCACACAATGATGGTTTTTGCTCTCTTGGCCAACAGTAACGGAGTGATCTCTATGGACAAATAACTGTGTCAGGGGCTATGGGAGATGGAAAGATTAGACACCAGGGCCTTCCCCTAAGAATTCGCTGTTTGAGACGTATACACACACAGAGCTGGGAGTGTAGCCCAGTTGACAGAGTGCTGGCCTAGCATGCACGAAGTCCTCTAACCTCCTAGCCCCCGAAGCACTGCACACAAGGTGAGTGTGGTACACATTTGCAGTTCCAGCACTGGGGAGGCAGAAGCAGGAGAATCAGGAGTTCAAGGCCAACCTTGACTACACAGAAGTTTGAAGTCAGCCCAAGATGCACGACTCTTTCTCAAAACCAAAATTAAGGCACACACATAAATAATGATGTAACACATAAAGAGAGAAAGATGACGAAACCCAGGTGGGTGTGGTGGCACACGGCTGCCATCCCGACACGGAAGAAGTAGAGGCAGGAGGATCAGGAGTGCAAAGTCATCATATAGAGGGAATTCAGGCCATTCTAAATTAGATGAGACCTGGACTCGAAAAGGTGTGGGGAAAAGGTCTCTGAAAACCCAGAGAAGAAAACAGTATCACGGGCTAGGAAAGTCATGTGGGTGATTGAAAGTGAATCTTACCTAGTGCCAGTGTTGAAAGATACTATGTTAATTCTCTCTCTCTCTCTCTCTCTCTCTCTCTCTCTCTCTGCATGTGTGTGTGTGTGTGTGTGTGTGCGTGTGTATTTGCATGCACTCATGCCACAAAACACCTGTGGAGTTCAGGAGAGGACCACTTACAGCAGTCACTTCTCTCTGTCCATCATGTGGGTTTAAGGATCAGACTCAGGTCGTTTTGCTTGGAAGCAAACAACCATTGAGCAATCCATCCAGTCTCAAGATGAGGTTTTTAATAGGCAGTAATGATGGTAAGGAGAGAGGAAAAAGTGGAACCAATGGACCACCACAAGTGGGGAAGGGCTTCATCCAACACAGCAGCTGCAGGAAGCAGACAGTACAGAGGAAGTTACTCTTCCGGAGCCTTTCTGTATATCGCTGTGAAGAACATCAAGTGTTAAGTCATGCAGGAAGGGAGGGAGACCAGAGAGTGCAAGGCAAGCAGGACTCCTGAGTGACCTGTTTAAACTTCCAATGTTTTAGGATTAGATTTGAAGTCTTCTCCACAAGTAGGAATTCAGGCCTGGTACTGTAAACCCAGTCAGAAGCTCATGGCTGGTGAGGTCCGTGGTCTATGGGAGAACCTACTGCTGTTGTTTTGCTAAGTCAGTTGTTGCCAAACTGCCTTCTAAATATTTATTGCCTATTCCCACAGATTAGTACATCTCCCAGCCTTGGCCAGAGAAGCTGTTCTCTGCAGTGGACAGTAGTTAATGCAGAGATTCATAACTGGTCTAAGTGCTGACAATAACTGTCTGTTGAGTATTTGACCTCATAGAACATCTCTGTCAACTCAACTTCTGATTCACTGCTCAAGGGAAATCAAAGGAGGGCAGAGGGGATGTAGGAGCCGGAGGACAGGAGGAAGGCTGTGAATGCTGCCTTCTGGCTAGGACATGGCCACCCACCAACTCCGTGCAGCTGTGGCTAGCTGCCCCAGACCTGCACAAGGTCAACTCAACAAGACCAATCAGCAGTCCAGCAGACGGCACTAACTGGAGGCAGTGAGTTAATTAAAGAGGAAGTGGAGGGGGAGGAGATGTGTTGAGGGCTCTTGGTCCGGGCTGGGGGTGTATATGATCAAGATACATTGTTTGCTTGTATAAAACTGTCAACGAATAAATAAAAGATAAACTGTTTTTTAAAGAGTATGGATACAAAGGCATGTGGGAATTTCTTCAAAATAATAGAAAGTACGGACGAAATTTGATTGGCTGAGACTTGGTCATGATTGCAGTGGAGGAAGCAGAACCTCTTTTTAGCGGTCTGCCTAACTTTGCTAATGTATAAAGTTTACCATTAATCAAAGTGTGAAACCAGGGCGGGGAGCGGGGGAAGGGAGCAGAATGTACAGTAGGAGGTCCTGCCCACTGTGCTGGGAAGCCCGGCCCCCATCTGCTCCTTCAGACCCCATGGTGTCTCAGCTCCTCTGGGGAATCCATTGGTTTTCCACATAGTAAGTGGTGCTCTCTAGTCTTTCTCAGGCTCTGCACCCTGCTCAGAGCCCAAGAAACAAAAGCCGCCCAACATCCCCCGTGTTTGCGGACTGTTTGGGCGCGTCCCTTAGTGTATCCTGGGAATGCGTCCGCGTTGTCATGGCGACGCTCTGAGTAGGTTCCTGCGCGCAGCCGAATCCCGCCCCGGAACTATCATCTGCAGGGTAAGACGCCTCGTACCCGGGGGCCTGAGTGTCCCGAGGTAGCCGCTGAGCTGCTGAAAGGGAGAGCCCCAGGCGGCTATCCAAAAGGTGTTCGTCTTGGGACTGGGTCGGGGGAGGGTTTGGGGACCAAAGAAATGATGGGAGGTAGAGTCTGTGTTCTACCCAACCCTTAGTGTGGGTTGGGGTTAAAGGAAGCGGGGATTAGCCAGGGTGAGGCCCTAGCCAACTTGAAAAAAAAAGTGAATGAAATGTATGCCCTGGCAATGCTGAAGCATGCATGGTCAGCCCATACATGGCGGTTCTGTTGAACTTGTCTATATTGAGTTTCATGGTCTAAGTTGATGACCCATGAGGTTTCTTTCTCAAGAGGGCACCCGATTTCATTACAGATGGTTGTGAGCCACCATGTGATTGCTGGGAATTGAACTCAAGACCTTTGGAAAAGCAGGAAGTGCTCTTAGCGGCTCAGTCATCTCTCTGCCCAGCTTGACCCTACCTGAAATGCAGGCAGTGACTGCGTGGGGCCAAGAGCAGGAGGGATTGGAGGGTGAACGAGAGGCCCAGCATTGGAAGGTGTACAGGAGGAGGTTTGAAGTCGGTCCCATGACTGTGCTGAGGAGAAAGCCGCCTTTGCTCCTGAAAGGGGTTGCAGGCAAGAGGATAGACCAGCTAACTTATTTTAAAAATGATTGTTAGGCAGCTAGTGTGTGCCTCATTGTATTCTGTGTTCTCTGTGGTCTTCTCCAATGCTGTGGGACTTCTCCAAAAAAGACAGAAGCAAAACTCACAAACATGCATTCTTGATTTTACATTCAATTTCAGGAGCTCCTCTGAGCGGCCCCATGGCCTCTGGTTAAGAGCTGTGTCTGATAGAGAAAATGTGGTGTTTGCGGCCAGTGAGATAGCTCAGTAGATAAATGTACTTGCTCTGCAAGCCCAATGACTGAGTTCAATCCCCAGAACCCACATAAAAGTGGAAGAGAGAACTAATTCAGGTTTATCCTCTGATCCCCACATGCACATCGCTGCTCCCCACCATGTACACACATAAAACAATATTTTCAAAAATGTGGAATTTCTTAGGTTCTGTTTCAAGGAAATACATTGTTAATGCCAGATGACTTATAAAGGATGTTAGAAGGGATTGGGAATCGGTGTTTATGAGGGAAGTGGAATTGCCAATGACTGTCAAGGACTGTAGGGACCCACAGAGTTCCCAGGCATGCTCAGGTCTCTGAGACCTGGTCACCTATGGGCTTCACTACCTCTCTGTCACCTCCTATTAGCAGAGGGGGAAGGTGATTTAGGAATGCCTGTGTCTTGCCAACTCAAAATATTGAAGGGACCCTTGTTCACATATCTCTGTGAATGTGATGTGGAGACAGGAAGAAGAATTTTAATTATCAACTTGACACAGTCTAGAATTGTCTGTAAAGAGAGTCTTAATGAGGAATTATCTAGATTAGATTGGCCTCTGGGTATCTGTGGATGGATTGTTAACTGATGTGAGAAGGCTCAGTCCATTGTAGGCAGCGCTATGCCCTAGGCTAGGAGACTCAGCCCGTTGTGGGCAGCGCTATGCCCTAGGCTAGGCCCTGCACTGTGTACGAGTGAAGAAAGCTAGGAAGCAAAAGGAAGCAGCTAACATGGGAGGATTCATTTCTCTCTGTTTTTGACTGTGGTTGTTAATGTGACTAGTTGTTTGAGTTTCTACCTCAACTTCCCCTCGATGATCTGGAGTTGTAAGGCAAAATAAGCCCTTTCCTCTTTTGCACTGCTTTTTAGGATGTTTTGCCTTAGCAACAAAAAAGAAACTAGGAACTTTCCAAACTTATGAGGCTTTGAGAACCGCCCCAGAAGCACCCTTCAGACAAGCCCTGAAGAGTCATGGGAGAGTTTGGAGCACGTTGCCATATTGGGTTATGGTGTGTGAGTCAAATGATTAATGAGACAGCCATGTGTGGGAATGCAGCGTCCAGCAGATGAGAGCAGGGGGGCCGGAGCCACAGCACACCACGCAGGGACAAGGGGTACATCTGTCAAAAGCTAAGAAGAAACATGTGTGTGCTTCCTCACGATGAGTCTACCACTCCCGTTTTTCTCCCCAGGAAATGACCTTTGACTCCAGGAGAAGATGGCAGTCCTGAAACCGGCCATGCAGGAACTAAAGAGTGCAGACGAGCCCATTGACAAAGTGTCACCCATCCTCTTGAAGAGCCTGGTGGAGGAGCCCAAGAAAAGAGCAGAAGTGCCTAACCATCTCCTGGAGTCCAGTGAGTGCGCAGCCGCCATTTGTCTACAAATTACGTCTCCAGGGATCCAAAGTCCAGGAAGCTGGGACTGGGGGTGCTGGTTTAACTGTATCATCTTATAGGCTCATAATAGTTCCTCTTAAGAATGGTAGTTCTGTTTAAATCAAGCTGCTTAAATGGTAGATTTTAAAAAGTTATTTTTATTTTCATTTATATACTTGTTTGCATGTGTGTGGGTGCCCATGGAGTCTAGAAGAGGGCACCAGGTCCCCTGGAGCTGCAGTCGCAGCAGTGGAAGCTAGGAACCAAACTCAGCTTCCCTGGAAGAGCTGAAAGTGCTCTCAGCCATTGAGCAGTTTCTCCTGCCTCCCAACGACAGACTTCCATGGTGTAAGTCAGTCACCAAGTTCACATGCTGGAGTATGAGGAGAGTAGGGTGAGGAGCAAGGCAAGGTTAGAACACAAGGCTGGGGAGAAAGCTCAGGGAGTCAAGTGCCTGTCTTACAATCACAAGGACGTGAGTGTTGTGCGCTCATGACCCCAGCAGCACGGAGGAGGACCCCCCGAGGACTGGGGGATCCCCGAAGCTCCCTGGCTGGCCATCCTAGCCTACGTGGCTATTTCCAGGCCAGTAAGAGAGCCTGTCTTACAAAACAATGTGGACCGTGGATGACATCAATGTTGTCTTATAGCACACACACACACACACACACACACACACACACACAGAGTTAACATATGAATAAAAACCAATGTCGGAGAAAGTCTGGACTTCTCTCCCACCAAGGCTGATGTGTAGTATTGCATTTGCAGAACATATGAACGCTACACAGATGTGCTGAAAGCCTGCCACACTGAGACGTGAGAATCCTGACATACGCCATCCACCGTAGAACTCTGACCTCCCTCCAGCCCTGTTCCACTTCCATTTCCTGAAGTACTTTTCTTTCAGTAAACTATTTCTGTTTCACCACCACTCCCATGTCCCTGATGCATGACGCAATTCCTTGCTCTGGGATGCAAGAACCTGGAATCCTCTAGAAGCACCTTCCAGTGTCCAATATCTGCCCAGAGCACCACAGACAGCCTTCATCCTCAGCAGGTCTTGGGACCACCACACTCCTCAGCTCAGACTCCTCTCCTTGACTTCCTTTCTAGAACCCCGTCCACCCATCTCTGTCCTGCTTGACTCCCCAAGGCTCTTAGTACACAGGATAAAGCGGCAGTTTTTCCACTCCGCATGTCACAGCCTGAGGAGTTCCCCTAATCTTTTAGGGACCGCACTTGGACCAAACCAGGATTCAGGATTCATTTCTTTGACATGGAAAAAAAATCAGAACTAGGCAGTTTAGGAAGCAGAGTTGGGTTTATTACATGTATTTTAACAAATGCCTAATTAGGTGCAAGGGTTAAAGAGAAAAAGAGTTGCTCAGTGGCAGATGGGAAGAGGCTGATGTGGGCTCGCTGGGAGTAACACATACCCAAGTGTGGTGCAGGCTCCAGGAGGGACAGCTGTAATGAATGACCTTATTATTAGACATATATACCATTTTGGTGGCTCTCAGGTTACACTTCAAAAGATTGCTAAGAACCTCATTTTATTTCTCTCTCTCTCTCTCTCTCTCTCTCTCTCTCTCTCTCTCTCTCTCTCGATGAGATTTCAGGGCAACTCTGGCAATAACTCTGGAGTTAAATCTGATAAAGTAAGACAAGGAATCACTAGGTTTGCACAAGGGGCTTGCCACAGTCCCTTCCCTGTAAGGGGTTCTCTGATGGGGTTCTTAGAAGCATCCAGGCTTACAGCTGGGGGAAGAAAGGCCATAAGTAGCTGTTAATTGTGCTGGATTTTTGCTTGCCTGCTGGTGGGTGGCTTCAGCTGAATTCCCGGGTGAGGGGCTCTGCTCCTGTCTCATATCTCCCGGGTTTTCCCTGTCTCTCTCTCCTACCTCACCCTGAGGTGTTTGGCCTGATACCTCGATCTGCAGGAGTGTCACCTGATGGCCGTACAACAACTTCCGGAAAACATCCTAGTTGTGTTTCACGGCTGGAGCAGCCGGCATGTGGGGAAGTCCCCACTGCTTACTGGGAGTGGACACCTGGTGAGGGAGGAGGTGACATTCAGCTGGTGATGAGCCACGGCCAGCTCAGCTTCTTCACGTTTGCTAACCCCATCCTAGTGTCATTTCCAAGCCCCCTGACAAAGGCCACTCCCGGGAGAAAGGGTCTATCGCAGTTCACAGTTCCAGGTCACCGTCCATCGCAGCAAAGAATGCAAGACGTGCATGCGCAGCAGCTACTTCCATCCATCCAAAGTCAAGAGCAGAGAGAGATAAATGCATGCTGTCCTGTCTGACACAGTCCAGGACCCCTAAACCAAGGAGTGGTCCCTACGGTTTCAGGCTGGGTCTTCCCACGTTAAGACAGTCTCCCACAGACGTGTGCACAGGCCAACTTGATCTAGAACCTAGCTTCTGGAGAGCTCTTCAATGAGACCCTCTTCCTAGGTGATTGTAGGTTGTGTCAAGTTGACAATTAAAACTGACCACACTCCCAACCTGTACAAGCCCCACCTTAAATCTTAGAAATGCATTTGCTCTAGATGATTCTACTGTCACCTTAAGACTGCCAAGTGCACACTGGTATACTTAACCATTTCTGGGCAGGAACACAGCCTGCTGCTTTATGGCCCCAAACCAAAAAAGTTTTAGCATTAAAAAGGTTGCTGAAATGGATGAGCCCTGCCTGACATGCACGAGGCCCCAGCTTTCATCTCCAGCACCGCGTAAAGAAATGTGGTTGGGCATGTCTGTAACTCCACAGTCAGGAGGAACTATCCAAGGGCGTGTTTGATACGTGCCTGTAATCCCAGCACTAAGAGACAGCATCAGGCAGCTCCCTAGGGCTCGCTGGCCAGTCAGCCTGGTCTACCATCTAAGTTCCAGGCCCGAGAGATGTCTTATCCCAAAAATAAAAAACAGACAGAAGTGGACAACACCCAAGAATGATGCCAGGGGGTGTCCTTTGACCTCCACAAACACACACACATATGCATGCACGACATACGTGGAGAGCAAATTAATAAATAGTAAGCATGTATGAGCAAAGATGAAGGGGAGGGGTTGGGGACAGAGCCAGTCCGTCATGGGCCCTGGCTGCTCTTGTAGACCTGAGTTCGGTTCCCACCTCTCGTATCAGGCGCTGAGCCTGGAACTCCAGCTCTGAGGGGGTCTGAGATCTTCTGGTTTCTACAGGCAGGTGCACGCAAACGCACACGCATGCACACACACACACACACACACAGAGAGAGAGAGAGAGAGAGAGAGATACACATATACACACAAAGAAAATAAAAATAAATCTTTTTTTAAAAAAAAATAGAAAAGCAGACACAGTCCAGTTTATTGGGGACTCATAATCCTTCTTGTTGACAGCTGTATCCACTGTCTGGACATTGCCTGTGCTTAAAGTGCCCTGAACTAAAGACTTCCTACACCAATAAGAGCATCTTCAATGTGGTATTCTTTATAGCTCACAATGGACTTGTCTTTCTTCCGTAGAGGTTTATGCCAAACTTCTGAACAATCAGGCCATCCAGGCCAGACCGGGCATAGTCCACTTTGGAGGCTACGAGATAGAGAAGCAGCACCAACAGATCCTGGTACGTACATTTTTGTTCCTAGTTCAGACAGAGAGCAGGGGCCAGGGAGACGGCTCCAGGGAACGGTGCTTGCTGCACCAGCATGAGCACCTTGTCACACAGCTGGGTTTGTTGGCGTGGTCTGGTGAGCCCATTTACAGGGAGGTGGAGATGCGGATAACGGGGCTTACTGGCCAACAAGACTAGATGAATTGAGATCCAGGTAAAAGTGAGAGTTCTTCTTTCAAAAATGGTGGTGGTGTGCAGCAAAATGACTCCGTGGGCAACGGCGCTTACCAACGGGCTTGACAACCTAAGTTCAAGCCGTGGACCCGAGGGAGGAAATTAGCCCCTACAATTGTCCTCTGACCTCTGTAAGCATCAATGACACACACCACCTCCCATAAGGAAATAAACGCAATAAAAAATTAAAGGTAGGGACCAACAAGATAGATCAGCCAGTTAAAGGGCTTGGCGCCAATCCTGACAGCCTGAGTTCAAGCCCCAGGATCCCCATGGCAGAGTGAGGGAAGTTGTCATCCATGTGTCATGGCACATGCTCACCCTCCAAATAAATAAAATTGATGAGATAATGACTAAGAAAGACACCCAACATTGTCCCCTGTCCTCCACACACATGCACACATGTGTACAAGCGCTTGGACACACACAAATACGCATAGAGAAAGAGAAGGGGCAAGGGGGGAGGGAGGGACTGGCTTAGTCAGAAAGGCGGTTTCTTGAGGAGGAACTAGAAAGGGGCATCGCTGTCCTGGGACGGACTAACGCCACTCTGCCAAAGGTCCTCTCAGCACGCTCTCTGTATGTCCCTCTTATGCCATGTAGGGACAGCGTCTGACTTCCCAGTAGCCCTGTGTACTGGGCATCTAGAGAAACCCAGTTTCCAAAGTTGAAACTTCTCGTTCCAGTGCACAGGATGCTGAGTGAGGGGGACGGAACTGCATTCTGCACTGCCTTCCTCCAAACCAGTGTGGAGGGAGGAGGATGCAGGCAGGGCTGCCTTGACCTGCTCTGGCCAGGTACCAGGCCAGCCCAGAGAAGATGTGCCTAGGTCTGGGAGGAGGTGGTGGCCACTCCAGTGCACACGATCTGTCTACCAGAATGGCTGAGTGGAGCGTGGCACCTCTTTGCTGTTCCTTTTCACCCTGTAGGTGGGATTCAGATATTAACATGAGCAACATGAGGGGACTGGAGGGATGGCTTAACAGTTAAGCATGCATACTACTTTGTTTTTTTTTTGTCTTGTTTTGTTTTATTCTTTGTTTTTTTACAAAAAATATTTCCATTCTAACTAATTTTCCCAAACATTAAGAACAAGTTAGTTATTAAAAACATGTTAAACATTAAGAATATGTGGTTAAGGATGATGGAGCCAAATGCACCCAAGCATCAGTCCCTTCTCCTCTGTGGTACTCTGAACCAGCTGTTTAATCTCTTTGTGCCTCTATTCCACACCCATAAACTTTATTGATACCTATTAGATTAAGCTAGTGCATACTATGTGTATGAGGACTTGACTTTGGTTCTCAGCACCCATGTTGGGCAGTTCACAACTACCTGTAATTCTAGCTCCCTGGCTTTCACAGGCACCAACATGTATGTGCACAAACACAAAGGCATACATGTATACATAATTAAAGATAAGATCTGAAGTCTCAACTGTGCTTCACCCTGTCAGAGGGCAGCCACATACCTGTCCTTTTCATATTGCTACTTCCTCAGAGCCCAGCACATGCCTGACACACGGAAGACACCCAATAAACACTTGGAAAGGAAAGACTCTGAGCTCACTCTCAGACAAGATTGACTTCACGCACTCGGTAAGGATGGTGTTGTGTTAAGCATCACATTGATTTTATCAGACATTAAAACAAGCAAGAAGAATAAAGTACAGTGTTGTGTAAAGCATCACATTGATTTTATCAGACATTAAAACAAACAAGAAGATAAAAGTACAACATGATTTCATCTTAATAGCATTCAGAGAGACCCTGGGAAAGCCAACTTCCTGTTCCCATCAGTAAAACTAAACAGAGGCCCAAAGCAATTACCTTAAGATTCTTATCAAAAGCATTCAGACCTGTTAGAAGTGCTGGGAATAAGTGCATGTCTGGGCTCAGTTGCAGAAGAGAGATCTACATGGACCTGCTTCCTCACCCACAATGCTCAGGGAACATTGGTGAAAGGAGGACAGAGAGAATGTAAGAGCCAGGCAATGGGAAGAGCGCTGTGAAGTGCAGCCTTCTGGGCATGACCTGGCTTTGCACAGAGCTCACCACAGCTACGGCTGCCTGCACAAGACTTGCACAAGAACCAGCCAGACAAAGTGCCAGCAAGGCTTGAGGAAAGACTACTGAGGCCCACCCCTAGCTGATGAGCTATTGGCAATTGATGGCCACCAGTGGGGGGAGAGTCAGTTTTCTTCTGAGGTGTGTTAACTGCAGGGTGCTTATGCCCAGTGGGCCCCACACTCATGCACATATGGGCCGCACTAATTTCGAAAAGATTCTTGTCAAACAAGGGGAGAATTCTTAACTGTTCTGTCTTATTGGAGTTTCCTCTCTAACCCCAAATCAACAGAAGTCTTTAATCATGCCAAAAAAAAAAGATACTAAATCATTCTTACATTCCGAGACTCTACAGTGGGGTACCTAAGGTCGCCATCATCTGCCTCCTGCACGGTTTCTTTTTCAGAAACACAGACAGCATCTAAAACCTTTCTCACTCCCGTGCTTGTGACTGCCATGGCTTGCTGAGTCCAAGTACCCGAGCTCAAAACAAGTGCAGTAGCAAGTCCTTCATGGATTAACTCTGGACTTGATGAACTGAACTTGCAATACCTGTGCTGTCACAAACCCTGCAGCTCAAACCGGGACCCTTTGCTCTGAATGATGACGTTGCTGGGTACGGGGGCACCAGCTTGGGCACACTCATCTTGAAACGGAAGCTGGGTCTAAGAGCTTTGGACTTGTTCTGGGCAAGGCTACGGATGGTTCAGGTAGTAGACAGCTCCTGTTGGTTTCCCATCCTGTTCAACTGGGGTCTCCTTTGCTTTCCAAGAAGGGTGACCCTACCTTGACACCATTGACGTCCCTCAGGATAGTTCACAGTAATTGCACCCCGTTAGAGTGAGGTAGACATTTCCTGGAATGTGGGTCGTCTGAGATGGTCTTCATTCTGGTAGTAGATGGGACAAAGACTTTACTAGGTTTTGGCACAGGACACTATGCAAATTGCCCACAGGTGAAATGACTGAGTGCCCGCTCATTAGCACTGAGGTCACGTGGCTCTAAAGGGTTTGAAGCATTCTGTTTGCGTGCATATTAATATCAATGCTTCAGTCTACGTGGAAATTTTAAACAATGATCTTTGTTTGGTTTTAATTTTTCAAAACCCAAGACCTCTTATATTTTTTTGTTTAAGGGACAAGTTTTTTGTCTCACAAATTATATTTATTAATAAATAAGTCATCACTTCTTCTAGGAGACAACCAGTGTGGTTGTGGGCCCAGACAAAACCCATTAACCTGTGCCAAGCAGTGTACTCCGCCTTTCTGTTCAGTCCCTGTTACAGCTACTAAGGAAAGGCTCCACCCTTCCAAGACACTGATTCTCAAACTTAGGGCCAGAACTGGCAATGTCTTCTCAGGGCATAGGGATGTGGAACCTTAACACCACAGTGTAGGCACAGTGCATCCTACCTGAGCATTAGTGTGGTTTATTTGTTTACTGTAGTTATTAGTTGACTGTGAATTCGGGAATTAGGTAAAAATCAACAAGATCATTTGATTACTTATTTTATTCATATATATGAACATGGTCTGTGTGAATGTATGTGGGTTTCCTCGGGAAGCCCGAAGAGGGCTTTGTATCCTCTGGAGCTGCAGTTACAGGCTATACCATACATGTGTGTTGTGTGTGTGTGAAGGGGGTGTGCATGTGAGTGTTAGTGCCTGTGGAGCCCAGGAGAGCGTGTCAGATCTGCTGGGTCTGGGCTTAGAGGTGCTGTAGGCCTCCTGGTGTGAGTGCCGGCAACTGAAACCTCTCTAAGAGCAGAAGGCTCCCTTAACTGCAGAGTTCTCTCTAACAAAATCTTTTTGTGGTAATCAGTTGACAATTTAGAACTTGAAATTAAAAGCATCACATGTCTTTTTTAAGTTGGCTATTGATCATATAAACATTATGTTACATATAAACATATGTGCATACATGCACATGTATAACACATGTCCTAATAAGAAAGGAAAAACCAATTGTTTTCTAATTCTTATTCTCTATTTTTCTCTCTCTCTCTCATTTTTTCTCTCCTGTGTGTGCATGCATGTGTACATATGTACGTATGTGTGTGTGTATGAATATGTGTATGTGAGTGCATGTACCCTTATGTGTGCATCATGCACACAAGGAAACCAGAAGAGGGCATGAGTGTCTTCTTCAACCACTTTCTATCATATTTTTTGAGACAGAGTCTCTTCCTGAACCTGAGCAAATCCGTCCTTCCAGACTTGCTGGTCAAGGAGCCCTAGGGAGTCTCCCTCCATCTCCTCCCCGGCATTGAGGTTCACTGATACAAACTGCTGTGGCCATACCCAGATTTTCACATGGGCTTCTGGGGAATCTAAACTCAGTTCCTCATGCTTGCCCAGCAAGAAATTTACTGACTGAGTCATCTCCCATCCCATATTGCATGTCTTTTAAAAAACTTAATATAATTGTGCCCTCGAATCTTCTTTGTAATGAAAAATAATGACTATGTAAATAAGTCAAATTCAAACTCACCTTTTTCTCCCCAGTACATTGCCAATATTTCCGATGAAGATACACACCTTCATATTTTACCGCCGCAGACCAAATACTTCAGGATCGCGTATGAGAAGAAGGTACTGTCCCTGGGTCCCCTTCCCTGCTGGCGAGGCGTGGGATGAGTTGTGGCTCTGCCTCAGGCCTGCTAGGACACGAGTGTGCGCATCCTTCATCCCACCCCACTGTAGTGCTGCTGTCTGCCAGCTCTGGGGCCTGCCCCAACACAGCCTACCTGCCTTCCAGGAGCATCACCTCATCCCAGGCTTGTCCCTCATGGTCACTGTTACATTTTCTCCCGATGAGTGGCGTTACTATTACGACTGCATCCGCATTCACTGTAAGGTGAGTTTCTGGAAGTAGCTATCTTTTGGACTGGGGATGTGGGGCACGTGTGAAGAGGGTGTAGGGGGATACTTCATCTCCTAAAGGAGGATGAAGGAGAGTAAGAAGAACCTGTCAGTTTTTCAGTGTTGTAGGAGCTAGATGGCCCACAGCTGTAACTTCCTCCCTGCTGGAAAAGGGTTTGGACATGGCAGGCCTTGGCAGGCTCCCGAAACATCCTACTGGGCTCTGCTAGTGTCTGATACTTCACACACCATAGCCCAGGAAGAACTCTCTGTGTGGTGGATGAGGCTGTAGGCTCAGGACTGTGTCTGCATTCCAACTGGGAAGATGTTAGGGTTCAGAGAACCTGGGAAGATTCCCTGGACACTGCACTGCTGTCCTCCAATGCCCGGGCCAAACCATTTATCCTGTGCTGCTGGGGCTCCTGGAAAGCTGTGCCCAGTAACATTTATGTGCTCCGTTAAGTACGGGGCTAGAAACTAAATAGTGCTCCATTCTGTAGTTGTAAGCACTGGTGACCGGCCCAAGACTCCAGCAGCAATGTCCACAGACGGTGAGGTCCTGGAGAGGTGACCTGAGGGGCCCGCGCTGGCTGAGCTCTCAGGAGTCCATTCCAGGTCTCTTCATTCGCCCCCAGCCTCCAGCCTGAGTCAGCATCTCCTGCAATCACCTCCACTCACCTTTCCCTGTCGCAGGCCTTGTCATGGAAGTTCAGAGGTCACGGTTAGCCACACTCGGTGAAAGGTTAAAATTTAGCAGAAAACGATTTCTTTTTTTCTTTGAAATAATATTCTATTACTTAGATTTGTATGGGAAGGTCTGGATTAAAAATATTTTCCCTTTGATTTTCATTTTTAAAAGGCCTGTGCCTGTAGTTTCAGCACTAAAGAAGCTGTGGCAGAAGTGTCTCAAGCTAAGGCCATGCTGGGTTTGGGTTGTATAGCCAGCCTTGTATAAGGACTAGAGCAAGGCTAGGGAGACAGGTGTGGGTAAAGCACCTGTCGTGCAAGCGTGAGGACCTGGGTTCAAATTTCCAAAACCCTTGTAAAAACCTGAACATGCATACATGCCTGTATCCCCAGCACTGTGCCATGTCAGAAACAGGGGGATTGCCCGGACCACCTAATTCTAGATTCACCAAGAGCCCTTGTCTCAAGGCAGTAAGGCATAGAATGATGGAGCAGGGCACCCAACGCCTTCCTCTGGCTTCCACATGCATTCACAGACATGCATGCTAACACACATGTGTGCAAACACTGCATACATATACAATAAAACTAAAAACCAAGCAAACAAATGCATAAAATTGGAATATTCTAGCATAATACAATCTAAGGAACACAATTTGATACATACCAAGAAGAAAAAAAGAAGACAGCATCATTGGAAAGGAGAAAGAGAATAAAACCGAAGTCTGCATTTTCCGTAATTAAAGCATTATGTTCATATGAGAACAGAATTATTTCACATGTACAACTCAAAAACTTGACAAATAATAGCATGCAGTAGTCTTGAATCTGAGCCAAAGTGCCTCAGTCAGTGTTGACTGTCATTGTTCGAGCTCACAGTATGCATGATGCAAGTCCACATGTGAGATCACCCTCAGTATGCATGATGCAAGTGTACATGTGAGGTCACAGCATGCATGATGCAAGTGTACATGTGAGCTCACAGCATGCGTGATGGAAGTGTACATGTCCCATGTTCAGAACCAAGGCTACAGTGACATCAAGCAATGAACCATAGGTGAGTATCACTAGAAACATCTCAGATTCATCATTCATTTTATTTTTAAATTAATTTTTTGTCATTGCACATTTAGAAGCCTTTAATATTACCAAATATTTTATAACTCCTTATTTAGTTGTGTGACCTCTGACAGAGTCAAGAAGCCGGGGTGTAGAGTCCAAGAGCACAATTCATAAGGCAAATAAAGACAGTCCATGATGTGGTAGTTTTTACATCTTAAGACTGTAGCTGACTTTGATTTTTAAATATATCCTCCTCAAGGGAAAGTATGACTGTATCTACTTTGTTGAGGACCAAATGAACCTGGAGAAATCAAAGGCCTTGTTCAAGATCACCACCAAACTAGAATGAACTAGAACTGGTCTTTGTGCTCTCCTCCCGCTGAATGACTTTCCACTCTGCTTGCAATTCTCCTGGTCCCCTAAATAACATCTTCCCTTGTAACTTCCCCAGGTGGAAGCAGACAGCGCAGCATCTTTGTGTGTACTCAGGGGGATTGGTACCTTTAGCTTTCATGGGTAACAGCAAACATGGTTCCAGTGAGATAGACCGAAGCATCTTTTGTATTTTGTTTATGGTTTAAAAAAATGCAAGTTTTCGGCGTTGAGAGATGGCTCGGTCAGTGAAGGACCTGCCATGCAAGCATGAGGACCTGAGCTTGATCCTCAGAACACACTTTTTGAAAATGCTGGCCTTGGTGATATGTGCTTGTCATCTCCTTGCTGGGGTGGGGTAGAGACAAGAGGATTCCTGGGGCCCTCTTGCTAGCTATCCTAGAATATTTGGTTAAGTTCCAGGCCAGCGAGAGACCTTGTCTACATAATAAAAGGTGGATGTCACCGAAACAGTGATATCCAAAGTTTCCATATGCATGCACACACCATGCAAATGCATCTACACACATGGCCACACAATACACACACAAAAGGAACCCAGTATTTCTAATGTTTTCCTGAAAGTACTGAGATTTTCTAAGAAAATTCTTTAATGATTAAAGATGCCTATCTTTCAAAATGATAGTTTTCCAAATGCTAATTTAACCCCTTCCCCAATTTCAGGGAGATGACACCTTGCTTGTTCCCATTCATGCCTACCCTGTCTTGAATAAACTGGACTTCCCCACGTTTATAAATCTATCAGATGTCCTCCTTGGAGAGAGGTAAGTTCCCAAAGTGACCCAGTAAGACGTCACAGGATATGAAAGGTTAAGAAACTGAGGACTGGCAGATGACTCAGCAGTTGAGAACACTTGCTGCTCTTGCAGAGAACCCCAGTTCAGTTCCCAGCACCCACATCGAGTGGCTTACAACCACCTTAACTCCAGATGCAGGGGATCTGACTCCCTCTTTTCACCCCTGCAGGTACCCATGCATAAACACATACACACAGACATACTGCACACATACACAGAAATTTTTTTAAATTAAGAAACTTACAAGTAGGGCAGGGGAGATGGCCCAGTGCGTAAGAGTGATTGCCGCAAATCATAAGGATCTGAGTTCAAATCCCAGGTGTATAAAAAAATAGCTAGGTGTGGTGTGGTAGTTTGAATGTAGTTGGCCCCCATAATTTCATCGGGAGTAGCACTATTAGGAGGTGTGGCTTTGTTGGAGTAGGTGTGGCCTTGGAGGAAGTGTGTCACTGTGGGGTGGACTTTGAGGTTTCCTATGCTCAGGATACTGCCCAGTGTGTTAGCCAATTTCCTTTTGCCCGCAAGATGTAGGACTCTCAATTCCCGCACCACTTACTTCCGCCTGCATGCCGCCGCCAAGCTCGCTGCCATGGTAATAATGGACGGAACCTCTGAAACTCTAAGCCGCCACCCGAACTGAGTGTTTTCCTTGTATGAGTTGCCATGGTCGTGGTGTCTCTTCACAGCAGTAACACTAAGACAGGTGGTCACATGCACTTGTAACCCAAGTACTGTAGTTGGTGGAGACAAGAAGAATCACAGGGTCTTCAAAGCTAGCCAGCCTAGCAGAAAAATGACGAGCTTGAGAGTGCTGGTGGGTTTGTTGTTGTTGTTGTTGTCAACTTGATACAAGCTATCTGGGAAGTAGGACCAGCAGTTGAGAAAATACCTCCATCAGACTGGCTTGTAAGCAAGCCCGTGGGGCATTTTCTTGATTAATTGATGTGGGAGGGCCCAGCCCACTGTGGGTCAGTCACCCGAGACAGATGGTCCTGGACTGTCTAAGAAAGCAAGCTGAGGAAGCCAGGGAGAGCGAGGCAGGAAGCAGTGCTCTCCCATCCAGGTTCCTGCCGTGGCTTCTCTCTGTGATCTACTGTAAGACGTAAGCTGAAACAAACCCTTTTCTCCTCAAGTTGCTTTGGGCGTGGTGTTTATCACAGCAGTCAGGAAGCAAACTGGAGTATGAGGAGTGGACTGTGTCCCGCCGCCTGGCTAGCTTATACCCGAAATAACCACACAGAAATTGTATTAATAAATCACTGCCTGGCCCATTAGTTCTAGCCTCTTATTGGCTCACTCTCACATCTTTATCTAACCCATTTCTAATAATCTGTATGGCACCACAAGGTTATGGCTTACTGGGAAAGATTCTAACCAGGGTCAGTCTCAGGCAGGAGCTTCATGGCATCTGCCACTCTGCCCTTCTTCCCAGCATTCAGTTCTGTCTACTCTGCCTCCCTAAATTCTGCCCTATCAAAAGGCCAAGGCAGTTTCTTTATTCAACCAATGAAAGCAACACATAGACAGAAGAACCTCCTACACCAGCAAACCAGCACACTCAAGGCTCAGTGAGATCCTGTCTGCGGGAATAAGGTGACAGGTGACAGGAGAAATCACCTGGCATGCTTCTCTGGCTTCCACACAGAAGCACATGGGGGCAGTGTGTATGCCTATACACACATACACATGTCACACAACACACACAAACACCTCACAAGGGGAAATGTAGACTTGTCGTTTTTCTTGAGGTACAGTTAATCCTTGCACCTCAGTTAAACAGGGTTTACAGCAGCAGGAGACAAAACAACGTGATTCAAACAATTCAACCAAATCAGGTCAAAAAGCCATTAAGAAAGAAGGGGGATGTATTGAGTTACTTGAACTCTCCAAGTAGGGCTGGATCCAGAATCAGATGGAACACCCTGGTTCTTCCTGTGTCCTGTTTCTGCTGCCTGAGCTGTCCTTCTCATAGAACCAACCCTCTCACAGCAGGCAAGACAGTGGTCCACGATAGCCTGGAATAGCGATGACAGGAGGGGCTCAAGAATTAGGCTAGAACTTATGACTGTGTCTATAGGACCAGCTTGGATCATATGATTTTCTATCACCCAGTCTTCTTTAGAAGAAAGGAAAGCAAGTGAGACCAGATCTCAGAGTCCACTCTTCCTGCTGAACAAATGACTAATTATTCCAATTGTGGTTCAGTTTATATCTCATCCTCGTGTGTGTGTGTGTGTGTGTGTGTGTGTGTGTCTGTGTGTGTGTGTGTCTGTGTGTGTGTCTGTGTATCTGTCCGAGTGTCTGTGTGTCTGTCCGTGTGTCTGTGTATGTTTGTATCTGTGGCGGGTGCCAGAAGGTAGCCTCAGATGTTGCTCCTCGGGTGCCACTCACTTTTTGTTCATGTTTATTACTCTTTTGAGACAGGGCCTTTCATTGGTTTGGAACTTGCGCAGTAGTCTAGATGACCTGGCCAGTGAGCCCCAAGGATCTGCCTGTCTCCACCTCCCCAGCACTGGGATTGCAAGTGCACAGACCACCGTGCCTGGCTTTCTATTACATGGGTCCTGGGGATCAGACTTAGGTCCTCATACTTGCAACCAACCTATCTCCCCAACCCTGCGTATCTCACTCTCTCAGCAAATACTAAATGCCTACCAGCAGGCATAGTGCCATCTGCCCTAGAGATGTCAAGAGATGGCCTTTGATTGCTCGCTGCACATACAGAATGGCCATGTTGGCTGTTCAGAGCCTGAAATATACTGAGCTCAGGTTATTTGATTGCTCGCTGCACATATAGAATGGCCATGTTGGCTGTTCAGAGCCTGAAATACTGAGCTCAGGTTACATAGAGAACTGTTCTCTAAATGAAAAGTATTGAAATCTTTTTCTCAGCCAGAGAGATGACTCAGTAGGAACACGTACTTGCTTCCAAGCCCGACAACCTGAGTTCAGTTCCTGGAAGGAACCCATATGGTCAAAGGAGAGAGCCCACTCCCACAGGTTATCTTATGACCAGTACACACACGTGTGACACTCTCAATGAATGATAAAAATTGCTTGGTTTTTTTTCAAAACAGGGTTTCTCTGTGTAGCCCTGGCTGTCCTGGAACTCCCTCTGTAGACCAGGCTGGCCTCAAACTCAGGCATTTGCCTGCCTCTGCCTCTTAAGTGCTGGGATTAAAGGCATGCACCTTTTATTTTATTTTATTTTATTTTATTTTATTTTATTTTATTTTATT